CTCCTGGCTTTAAACATTATCTATCCATTGCATGACTATCCCATCTTTTGTCACTAAGGGGCTGCTTCAAGTTGGCTCCTTGGTCCTTTGACATGATGATGCCAATCACCTGTGATTGCATCCTTGCTTTTGATAAAGGAAATGTTTGAAGCTCACCTTTCACATTCCCTAAACCCAGACCTGGAATAAGCCATTGCTCCAAGAAGTTTTTGTTCCTTTCAGTGGGAAATGGATAGGGATTTATTTTCCAATATAAGCAAATAGTCAAAAATCCCCAGACATTTGAGGAAAGTCTCAGTGAAAGAGAAAGATCAAAACAAACAAGCAAACTGAGTGAAGGAAGCTGTCAGAAACAGGGTCAATGCAAGAACTAAAAGAAAACATTAAAAAATTAATTAGGAAAAATAATTAGACTCTTCTGAGATATAAAAATATATCTTGTTACATAAAACAATAAGTTAAAAATATGGACATTAAAAATATGATTGTGGAAATAAAATTTGAATTTAGAAGATAACATTGAAGAAAAATCTCCCAGAAGTTAGAACAACAACAAGAAAACAAGAAATGAAAAACAGGAGAGAAATAACAGAAAACTAGATGATAAATATGCAAAGGCCAACAGTGGATTGGATTAATAAGAGTTACAGAGAAAGAGAACAGAAAAAAAGGTGAGGAAGAAATTAAGGACAAAATAACATGAGAATATTTGCCAAAACAGAGGATGAGCCATTACACTGAAAGAGTTGACTGAGTTCCCAAAAGAGACCTGCACTAAGGCACATCTGTGTGAAGGCACATCAGGATTCGGTTATCAAAGAGAAGACCCTGAAAGCTCCCAGAGCCTAAAGAAAATGCTCACTACCAAAGATGGGGAATGAGACTCACACCAGACTTCAGAATAGCAATCCTGGATTCTAGAAGACAATGGAGGAATAAATACCTTGGAAATTCTGAGTGAAAAAATATTTTCAGCCTAAAAATCTGTATCAAAACTGTCAATCAAGTATGAAGATAGGTTGAATCAGACATGCAAGAGTTTTTTAAAAATTGATCTACCGTATTCCTTTCCTTAGGAAGATACTGGAGATGTGCTCCACCAAAATAAGCATGTAAATCAAGAAAGAGGGATTCAGCAAGCAGGAAAGGAGAGAAGGTAAGTCCCAGGTGAACAGGCACGCAGGAGGCTTCCGGCCACACTCAGGCAGGAGGAAGAGGATGGGGACTCAAAGGTGATCTGAACCATTTGTGTGTGCAGTTAGCCAACAACATCGAGAGGGGTTTGTAACACTTGTTGAGCTCCTGGGGAAAATTAGTAATTTGCAAAACAAGCAAATGAAGAAAATGATCCAAGATAATTATTCCATTCAGGAAAAACACAAAGTTGATCAAGAAAGAAAACCTCATCAGAATAGGCAAATTTCCTTGATTCTCAGATGCACGTTTTCACATTTTTAAAGAGTCTGAAATCAGGGCACGTCTTTCCGTCGAAGGCATCCTACAGTCGCTGGGGCCAGACTGCAGTTCTGGTGGAGTTGTCATTGCCTGTGCTTGAACCTGGTCATCATTCCCGTGTTCCAATTCTACAACACCAACCAGTTGACATTTTAGTCCACAAGCCATTTTCAGATGATATGAGGAGGGAATAGGAGTCCTGGTTTGTCAGAGGACCTTCTGCGAGCACCTTCTGGTAAGACCAAGAAAGTGCCAGCATCCAATCTTGCAGGATGGGATCAATAGCTTGGAAGAAAACTCTGGAGAACAGAGCGGAACATTGTTTAAGAATTGCTGTATCCCTATACCCTGGGTAGTTCAAAGAATGATATGCCAAGACAAGCAAACAACAGCAACAGAAAATGAGTGCTGACAATGGAATAGAAAAGTGATTCAGACGAGATGAACTATGAATTCAGAGAAGATTTAAGGACACTCAGTTCTGCTTACATTTTTCTTTTTTGTATGCACAATACCGGTATATGACTTAAAGTGTCTAAGAGCACTGCCAATAAATTTACATTAAAACTAAGTAATAAAGGTTTGGCAGCATATATTCTTTCTTAGTGGTTCATATTACAATCAGCGATGCAACCTGGGGTATTAAGTTGGTAGTAGTGAACAATTTTTACATATTTACAATACTAATTAAATAATAATGTTGATTTTTAATTAAATTACTATCACATTCAAAGATTAAAGAATTGATATTATAGAATTGTAATGGGAAGATGGGGAGGGCGAAATGAATGTGTGCTTTGAGGCAGGAGAGATGGGGATGAGTAAGCGGGGGAAATCTTCACCTCCATAGCAGAAGTCAGAAGATGAAATCTGAGGTTGACACTTCTTTTTTTAAAATACATTTTGTTGATTCTTTACAGAGAGGAAGGGAGAAAGATAGAGAGCCAGAAACATCGATGAGAGAGAAACATCGACCAGCTGCCTCCTGCCCCCTCCCCACTGGGGATGCACCCACAACCAAGGCACATGCCCCTGACCAGAATCAAACCTGGGACCCTTCAGTCCGCAGGCCAACGCTCTACCCACTGAGCCAAACTGGCTAAGGCGACACATATTTTTTAGAAACTGAATTAAACACACACAGAGGAATAGTTGAAAGTAGTTGACCTTGAGAAATGGAGTTGGGGTGTGAGAGGAGGCTACTTGAGTTATTTAAATAATTTTTTCATACTACTTAACTTTTTCAACTCTGTGCATCATTACTTTGATAAAAATAATTTTTAAATAAAATAAATGACTCAAGCCCATTTTATGCTGTTATCATTATAAATATACATATTCTTTGCAGGCCATCTGCTCTCGCTTTTGGTTTGAGAAATCTATTCGCTGTGAGAGGCTGTAGGATGCAGCAGAGAGAGCTGAGTGCTGGTCTCGTCTGAGTTGGCATGTTGGGTTTGTTGCCTACTAGCTTTGTGACCTTGGGCATATGACTCCACTTCTCTGAGCTTCATTTTCCTCACCTGTAAAATGAGTAAAAGGCTGCGTGTTTCACTGGCTGTGCTGAGGATCAAAGAGAGAAGGTGTGGCAAGTCCCTGGCACAGTGCTTGTCCTGGGGTTTAGCCCAGGGTGACTTTAACTCCTTTTGATTGAACACACCTGACCCCACCCAGTAAGATTCCCACCCCCTTGGGAATAAGCCTGACCCCTTCAAAGTGCCCCTGTGCTGAGGGATCCCAAGGCCCTTTGCCCACACAGTCCCCCGCAGCCATCTGCGTTCCAGAGCTTTAGGCCTGGACATGTGCAATGTTTGTGAGTCGCTGCGCTTTTCTACCCACAAAGCCCTGAGGTTTCTTGTCTATGCCCCTCTTTCCTTCTCACACCGGGCTTAGCCTGGGAACTGCTGGGGCCCTGAGGATGACAGTGGCTCCCTGGTTTGTTTGTTTTTTTTTAATATATTTTATTGATTTTTTACAGAGAGGAAGGGAGAGAGATAGAGAGTTAGAAACATCGATGAGAGAGAGACATCGATCAGCTGCCTCCTGCACATCTCCCACTGGGGATGTGCCCGCAACCAAGGTACATGCCCTTGACCGGAATCGAACCTGCGACCCTTCAGTCCGCAGGCCGACGCTCTATCCACTGAGCCAAACTGGTTTTGGCGGCTCCCTGGTTTTTGTCCAAGTGAACCCCACAGCAATGTGGCTAGATGCCAGGGGTCATTTGTCCTTCCCCTGAGCCCCTGGCCTGGCCTGGCAGGATGAGCCCAGCCTGCTCCTGGGTCTGATGCAGGCATGACCAAACTTGTCACCGCTCCTGAATCCAGGAAGTCAGCCCTCCCTCGGCCCCACAAAGCAACCACCTCGGGCCTGTGGGAGGCTGCGATCTGGAAAGCAGAGAGCAGCCCTGTCCCCTTCCAGGCACCCTTCTTGCCCTCTCACCCCTGGGCCCCTAGACCCCAGCAGGCAGTGACTGCACAGCTAGAAGGAGCTTTGTTAGAAATAAGAAGAGGGATTCTTTTATTGTCCCCGTTTGGGTGGGAGAGCTGCTTGCTCAGGGCTCCCACTCCCTGGACAGGTAGGCAGTTCATATTTATACAGGTGACCCAGAAATCTCTAAAAAGCCGCACACCAGGGCTGTTGACATTGCCTGGACCTGAAGGGTATCACTTCTCCTTCCAGATGCTCTTTGGAGGCCAGGAGGGACTGGCTGAGAGTAGAGACGGAATAGATGAAGCGGGGAGTGGAACAGCCCCTCCCAGGCCATGGGCACTTGGGAACATGACAGTGTCCTCTGGGTCCCTGAGTGGAAGCTGTGTCCCCGGGCACGTTGCCTCGTGATGGAGCATGCTGGATGCTAAAGGAGAGCGAGAAGGGACGCAGACAGCTCAGAGCTGGGGCAGGGAGAGCAGTGGGGAGAGTGGAAGTCCTGGGTTCTGGAGATGGTGGGATAAAGACATACACACAGAGCCCTTGAATGTGGAATGTGGGTCCCAATCCCAGCTCTACTCTGTAGCAGCAGCAAGTCACACAGAATGTGAGTTTCTTCATCTAAAAACAACAAAAAAGCACTTTGCACGGTTGTAGATTAAACATAGATCTCTGAGGTTTGCAGAATCTAGCCTTCCTTGCCTCCCACTCATTGAGGGACATGTGGTACATGAGGGAAGCACGTTTCCCGTTGCCCACTCAGGCCTGGGGTGGTCCTGAAGGTGGACTACTTCCAGCTCTTGCTGTCCCAGGGAGCAAGGCTCCGGGAGGTCCTAGGATGGAGCTTCAGGGGATGCAGCTGAGGAAGCTGGTACTCCTGCCTCCCCAGACCCTAGCAGGTGCGGAGGGTGTTGGGCTGAGGGGATGTTCACTCCTTAAAGATCTCTGGGTACCAAGGTCTGCAGCCCACTGGGTCTCCGTGGATGTAGTGAGAGGAACCCTTACCCTGCAGGCTGTCCCTGACCTTTTCCCAGCTTCCTGTCCACCCAGACCCTGACAGCTGCCTGCCCTGGCAGCGAGTGGCACAGCTGTGTGATGTCTGTGTCCTCTCCCCACAGGCCACAGAGTGGGCCTCCAACGAGGACACGCGCCGCTCCTGCCAAAGCAAAGGGAAGACGGAGGTATGTGACCTTGCTGGTCCGGGATCCTGGCTGGGGCCAGTAGGAGGCTGGTGGTTTCGGGATGTATGGGCATGCTGTGGGCACAAGGCCACCTTGCACAGGCCCAGACTGGATGCACTGGGGGCTTCTGGGCGGGTGAGGTCAGCCCTGAGCATTTGAGTGGGCAGTGATGCAGTAAGACAGCCGGGGAGGGAGATAGGGGGGCAGAGGACACCCACATTGCGACCTGAACTTCAGATCAGGGTGAGCTGGGACACAGGGCAGTGCTTTTATGTATCTGTGGTGCAGTGCTGAGAGGGGAAGACACCCAGAGCCTGGAGAGCTGTCCCTTTATCACCTCCTCTTCTTGCTTCAGGAGGAGTGTCAGAACTACGTGCGCGTCCTGATTGTCACTGGCCGGAAGGTGTTCCTGTGTGGGACCAACGCCTTCTCCCCCATGTGCTCCAGCAGGCAGGTGGGGACTGCTCCGGGGGCGGGGGGGCAGTCAGAAAGGGACTTGGCAGGTTCTCCCACCCAGGCACATAGCCTTGGAGTAGGGGTGCCAAATTTAGCAAACAACAAAACCCAAAACAAGAAAGGATGCCCAGTTAGATTTAATTTCCGATAAACAACAAATTATGTTTTAGCCTAAGTATGTGCCATGAAAGATTTGGGCCATACTGCCCAGGCGGGGTGGCTCAGTGGTTGAGTGTCAACCTATGAACCAAGAGGTCATGATTCAATTCCTGGTCAGGGCACATGCCCAAATTGTGGACTTGATCCCCAGTAGGGGGTGTGCAGGAGGCAACTGGTCAATGATTTGCTCTCATCATTGATGTTTCTACCTCCCTTTCCCTCTCCCTTCCTCTTTGAAATAAATAAATAAAATGATTTGGGACATACTTATACTAAAAAATTATTTGTTGCTCATTGAAATTCACTTTTTACTAGGCCTGCCGTGTTTTCTCGGTGTACCTGACTGTGCAGGGGCCAGAGGCAGGTGGAGCTCCTGACGCAACCTTCCCCTCTGTGAGGGCTGCTTCCGCAGAGGGACTGTGGGGTGGGCATTGAGGGGGAGGCTGGGAGGGTGAGGCTCACAGAGACCAGGGGCCCAGGAGGAAACAAACTCTGAGGCGGGAAAACAGGCAGCCCTTGGATCTCAGGGGAAAGTGCCCCATCTCCCTGCCATCCCAGGTGGGGAACCTCAGCCGGACGATGGAGAAGATCAATGGTGTGGCCCGCTGCCCCTACGACCCTCGCCACAACTCCACAGCTGTCATCTCCTCCCAGGGGGAGCTCTACGCAGCCACAGTCATCGACTTCTCAGGTCGGGACCCTGCCATCTACCGGAGCCTGGGCAGTGGGCCGCCCCTTCGCACTGCTCAGTATAACTCCAAGTGGCTCAATGGTAAGGAGACACAGCCCCAATGGTGGGGTTCCCCCAGCCCACCCTGACCCCCATTAGTCCTCCTCCCTGCCCAACCTCTGAAAGGTCTCACACTGGCTTCAACAAGGGGCCCAGAGTAGGGTGCATGTTTGCCCAAGGAGATGGACTCTGGCTGGAATCACAGATGCCCTGAGCACCCAGGGCAGATGGGGGGCAGGCTGTGAGGGGAAAGGAAGAGTTGGGAATTGATTTGGAGGAAAAGTGACTGGGGAGGGTAGCATGAGTTTCCTGTCCCTTGGAGTTGAATCCCTGCTTCTCCACTAACTAGCTGTGTGACCTTGAGCAAGTATTGACCTTTCTGTGCCACAGTGTTCTCATCTATGACCTGGGGCTGATCATAGTGCTAACCTCCTAGGTGGTTAAGAGGGTTAAATGGCTGATGCATATAAAGTACTCATAATAGTGCCTGGTACATAATAGTACTGGGTACTATTATGTGCCCAGTAATGCATGTCAGCTATTATTACAACTGCCCTTCGCATTGGAGGTGGGAGCAGGGTTAGTTAGAGCCTCCAGGTTGCCAGGCTGGCAGAGGGTGTCACGCCTACCTGGGAAAATGGAAGTAGGCGACTACTCCGGACTCTGCCCCCTTCCTCCCTGCTGGCCTGCCCCACCCTGTTCCTCTTCTGCCCCCAGAGCCTAACTTTGTGGCAGCTTATGATATTGGGCTGTTTGCGTACTTCTTCCTGCGAGAGAACGCGGTGGAGCATGACTGTGGGCGCACCGTGTACTCGCGGGTGGCCCGCGTGTGCAAGAACGACGTGGGGGGCCGCTTCCTGCTGGAGGACACGTGGACCACGTTCATGAAGGCCCGGCTCAACTGCTCCCGCCCGGGCGAGGTCCCCTTCTACTACAACGAGCTGCAGAGTGCCTTCCACCTGCCCGAGCAGGACCTCATCTACGGGGTCTTCACCACCAACGTGTGAGTCCCTGCCTCCGCCACCCCTTCCCTGAGATGCCTGGACAGGCGCTGGTCTGGCCTCGCAGCCTGGTGGGCTCGGGGAAGCCCCTCTCTGAGTCTTGTTTCTCTTTCTGTGCAATGGGGACTGTGGTGCCTTCTGCACCGGGTCCTCTGAGGATTTAGTGACTTGCTGCCCTGCCGTGGTCAGCATGGATTCTGGGTTGCCATGAAGGCCAGATATGAAGAAATAAAAGGAGCTGGGTTGTGACTTCATGAAGAAGTTGTGGTGATAAGAGAGAAACAGCTGCCTTGAAGGAGGGGATGGCAGCTCCGGAAGGGTCTGGCAGCAGCCTATCGGGGAGACTCAGAGAGGGTCTTACAGTCCCGTCCAGCCTCAGGATTCTATGGCCTTGCTAACCCTACCCAGCAAAGCAAGAGCAGACCTTAAGGAGCTTACCTTCTAGAGAGGGTGGTTATCAGTAGCTGTGATATTAATATCTCACCATTTTAATCATGGTAAATGCTACAAAGGGAAAGGGTAGTGAGTGCACAGGGAAACCTCTAAACATATAGAAGGGTGGTGATCAGGGGAGACTTCCTGTAGGAAGTGACGCCCACAGGATAAATAGGAATTAACTAGGGGAGAGGAGCAGCCTAGTCCAAGGGAACCGCACATGCAAAGCTTTTGGGTAGGAAGAAATGTTTGAGGAACGGAGCCAGACCAGAGTGTCAAGAGCCTGGAGGGAGAGGAGGAGAAAGACAGGAGGAGGCAGAAGGGCTGGGAGAGGGAGGATTATGTCCTGCAGGCCTTATAGACTGTTTTACTGGTTTTGATATTTATCCTAAGAGCAATAAATTATTGAAGGACTTGAAGAGTCCAGAGACTAGCTGGGATGTGCATTTTGAAGCACACACTCTGGCTGCTGAGTGGAGAATGGATTACAGGAGACGAGGCAGCGGCAGGCACAGGGCAGCATCCAGGGGAGATGATGGCAGCGGAGACCAGGCAGAAATGGACACATTTGAGAGAGGGACTAAATGCAGAGAATGGAACTGGAAACACTTGGTGTAGTGATATCATCTCTGAACTGTTCACATCAGACTCATAGAAACCTGAGACTCTGTGACTGAAAGGGGTCTTAGAGGTCATTTGGCTCAGGGTGTTGTGGGCTGCAATATATCAGTGGTTTGCTAACCTTCTTTTAAAATAAATAAATAAATAAATAAAACAGAATAGACTGGAATAAAAATATCAGAGTATAATGTATTTAATAAGGGTAAGTATTATCTCATAAAACTTCATTGTATATGCGTGTGTGCATATATGTGTGTGTTATACTAAGTTGTAATATAAAATACTAGAGGCCCGATGCATGAAATTCTTGCAAGGTGCTCGGCTCTCACAGCCCTGGCTGCCTCAGCCCTGTCCCTCGGCCCCACCCCATGCCCCCTGCCCACTGGTTGTTCTGGAAGATCATTCCAGAAGGTTGGTCTGCTGTTCAGTCTAATTAGCATATTAGCTCTTTATTATATAGGATATTTCCTACAGTGGCCATGAATAAAATGAAAATGCTGAGTTTATTTGACCCTCCCACGGGAGAAGGGGAGGGGCTGAGGCGGTAGCACGGAGAAACCCACCAGGGCTCTCATCAGTGGCCTTTGTTCCCCAGAGGGTTCCCAGAGCATAAGGACCACGTTTCCTCCTCTGAGACCCTCCATCACACAGGGGGCACCAGGCTCATTGTAGGTGTTCAGTCAGCCTTGGAGCGGTGCCAGGCGGTGCCTTGACTGCTGGCTGTGGGGTTGAAGGAGGGTGCTTAGGCCTATGCGGGGGCAGCATTTCACCACCTCTTGCCTTTCAGAAATAGCATCGCTGCTTCAGCTGTCTGCGCCTTCAACCTCAGTGCCATCTCTCAGGCTTTCAACGGCCCGTTTCGCTACCAGGAGAACCCCAGGGCTGCCTGGCTCCCCATCGCCAACCCCATCCCCAATTTCCAGGTACAGCTTCTCCTCTCTGCCCCTCTCTGTACACATGGACTACCAGTCACAAGCCGACTCCCAAGCCTGTCCCTGCTCATCTGCGCCCATCTGAGGGGGTCTACAGTGGTCCCCTACGAGGGTAGTAACCTCTAAGACTGTGGGACAAGAAAGGTAGAGCGGTTGGGTCACAGAGCAAGGGATCATGCTCTGAGCCATCTCTAAATGTGACCCCTCCTCCAGGAAGGTAGAGAGGTCGGACCAGGAGAGCACACATATTCTCTCTGGCAGAATTTGGGGATTTTGGCTGAAGCTTGCTTGCCGTCTGCCTGGGTACTAATGCCTGGAGGGTCTCAATGTCAGCAGTGGTGAGGGTGTGTCATCACCTGATTGATTTCCTCAATTGTTTTTGCCAGCAACAGATCTAAACTTTCCCTGTTTCTATGTGTTGTTTTCCTGTTCCTATGTTGAACTTTTTCTGTTTCTATGCGTTAGTACATCTTGTTTACTGCAGGCCCTCCCTTGGTTTCCCACGCCTCCCACTTTGAGTCCAGAAACATTTTATTATTTCTGCTTGGTTGATTCCTGTGGTTAGGCTGCTCAAACTGCCATGCCTGCCCCTGCCTATGTTTTACCTGCCCTTGTTTCCCACTGGACCCCTGCCCTATTGGCCTGCGTTTCAAGTTAATCCTCTCAAGGGCACTGGGTGCCCTGGGTGGTATGGGAAAGAGCCATGGGGCAAAGGAAACTATGGATGGTGGACTTTAATGTCCATCAACTTCTTGTCCAGGCCAGAAGCGAGCAGGGGGAGACTTCAGGCTTTGTGGTCCAACAAGCTTGACCCAGACCTACCCCTCTCTCTGTGTGTGACCTTGGGCAAGTCGCTCAACCTCCTTGCATCACTTTTTCTTTATCTGGCATGCAGGGACAATTCCACTGACCTCATAGATATGTGTGAGGGTTGATAAGCACCTGATGTGGTGCCTGGAATGTAGTAGGTGCTCAATAAATGGTGGTAGTCTGTCGGTTTTGGTTTGGAAGGCATACGAACTTGAGCAGGTAGGGACAAGAGAGAGGAAGGCAGAGCTGACACAACATGAGGGAGGGGCGCCTAGGGCCACAGCATAAGATCAGAGGACACTTGTTATCCACACTCAAATAATCCGTTTTTTTAGACAATACAGTCTCCCCCTCCTTTTCCCCAGCCCTGGCAGGTCCTTCCTGCCCCACCTTCCCAGCCTCAGTTTCCCTTAGTTCCCAAAGAGGCATCTCTTCCTGGAAGGGGGTGCAGGGGACTGGGTGGGGGAGGACTGAAGAACCAGAGTGTGCCCGTGACCGCCTGGGTTACACTAAGAAAGGAGGGAGTCAGGGATTGCGCAGCCCAGTGGCTACGCACCGGTGACCCGCCTCCCCGCGCAGTGCGGCACCCTGTCCGAGGTGGGCCCCAATGAGAACCTGACGGAGCGCAGCCTGCAGGACGCACAGCGTCTGTTCCTGATGAGTGAGGCGGTGCAGCCGGTGACCCCTGAGCCCTGCGTCACCCAGGACAGTGTTCGCTTCTCACACCTCGTGGTGGACCTAGTGCAAGCCAAGGACACGCTCTACCACGTGCTCTACATCGGCACCGGTGAGCTGGCCAGCGGGTCGGGGTGCGAAGTGGGAGGAGGTTGAGGGGCGAGGGCTAGGGCCGTGAGGTTCCCGGCCCTTTAAGGCCACCCTCACCTGACCCTTCC